CCCCTGGTGGGCTGAGCTGGCCACACACACACACACACACACACACACTAAATAAATAAATAAATAAATAAATAAATAAATAAATATTTTAAAAAAGAAGAAGGTTAAGGGAGGAACTTTCTATACAGCAAGAGCCTGTCTCAATATACAAGGGCTGGGGGATGTTGCTCAGTGTGAAGGCTCTGGGTTCATCCCCAGTACCAGAAAAACCAAAACAAAGAGAGTATACTAATTACTTAGGTCATAGGCCAGAGAGTCCGTGGAAGGAATGTGTAGTGTGCCCCCACACCTCCACTAATGACAATAACTGCTGTCTACTAAGCAGTATGGTGTGTGAAGGACCATTCTAAGTGCTTTCCTTGTTCTTTTTTTTTCTTTTGGGGGTGGATGGGGAGCTGTGATTCCAGGAGTTGTCTACCACGCTTGGCTTACAAGCTTTCCTTGAGTTTGCTAAGGAATCCTCCCACCCACCCTTCGCGCTAGGAGTTATTGTTACCACTAGTTCATGAACTTCCCAGGTGAAAAACAGATACCCAGCTAGCGCATGCTCAGTGATTAATACTGCTGACACTGTCAGGTAAAGAAAGGTTAAAGAAATTACCAGCGTGAGGCCACAATCCAGCAAGAGCCCGAGGGGTGGAAGTGTGTAGTGAAAGTGTCTCAGTGTGGTGGAAGCTCTTGGGCACCTCGTTCTGCTTGGAATCTGAGGCTTCAGAGGTATGCATCTTGAGTGAGTCTTGAAGTACGGGGGAAAGTGGAACCAGGTGGGGAGGAGGAAACGGAACGGACAGCTATGACTGGGCAGGTTCAGCAAGAATTCAAGAATAAGCATACAAGTCCCTCAGGCTGAGAACCAGGGGCAGCGGGGGCGGAAGCTGAACCACCATCTGGTTGGCTTCCATGCCCCTGGAAAATAAAACAGAGGGCAAGGCTGAGGGAGGGGATCTGGGCAACTCAAACCCAGGAATTTGAATTTGACAGCTAACAGGTACAGAAGATGACTAGGCCTAGTGAGATAACTCTCCACGCAAATCATCTGGACCTGCACTCCCTCCCACTACTTC